TGTGTTCTTACCCAGACTTCCCAAGATCACGAAGCTGACTCCTCGTCCTGATAAAACCCCTTTTATTTAAGTTAAAGGCAATTCCTCTCCAGCAAAGTCCCGGCAAACAGTCTTTCAAGAGATTGCCCAGCTACATACCTTTATCAGGTGTGTGATGACCCCAAGGGGCGTGGCACAAAGGCAACACAGTCACATAAGGAAGAAGAGTCCCTTTCGCACCTCCAACTTTGCCGCCAATGTCCACTTCTCTTCGGCTGGAGAAAAAAAACTCTCCCAAAAACAGTCTTTTAAGTAGAGGAAATTCAGTCCGAAAACAAAGTACAGACACACTGTAACTAAAAATCCACACAAACCACGCTGCGGCAATTAAGTTGACAGGGCAGGAATTGCAGACTTGAAAGACCAGCCAAACACACATAGTTGGGAAGACGCTGGGAACCCAGATAAGCCTTGACAAACAAATATAACTCACGGTTTACTTCCAGCAACTTTGCTGGGCCTAGCTTCCCTTTTTAAACACTGTTTTCCCAGCTGCAGCTAATGAAGGGAATCAGGGCCCTTTCCTCCCCCGTAAGCCATGCAACTCTCGTTGCTCCCTTCTCCATTCCTGCCTGTGTGCCCTAGGATGAAGAGTGGGTGGGCCTGGATCTTCCTCTGAATTCCCTCTCCCTTGCTCTGCCCAGTCGGACTTTGCCCTTCCCCAGTTTCTTCCCCAGCCACCGGAGCCACACTCCTACTCCCTGTCAGCTAATCGGCCTCCCACTCCGAATCAGATTCCAACAGGGGCACGACATCAGGCTTGGAGAGTTGCCAGACCACTTTCTTCCAAACGCCACGGTGTAGCAGCAATTACTTGGCAAGAAGTCAGGAACAGATCTTCACCCTAATGAATTGAACTAATTGTCTCCTACAAACCCCACTCCCCTTTTGCTCCTCTTTATTCCCTAAGGGAGGGGCCATTCACCGTCCACCTGTGGTTTTACTCCCAAGTCAACCCTTGTTTCTTAACTGTTCCCTTCCTCTGGCAGCTCTGTGCATGCGCACTCTGGGAACAGGCTCCAGCTGTTCTTCTTCCCCACTGATCTCCGACTCCGAAGGCAGCAGATAACTGTCAGGTGGCCCTTGCCCCATCTCTGCCTCTGACGCCTCTTACCAAACTAGGTAACACCATCAGTGCTAGAAGGAAGAGAGGGGTATATATATATATATATATATATATATATACAGGAAATGATATTATAGGAAGTGATGAAACGGGCCTATTATTCGTCCTGCAAAGCCTACAGAGGCTTTTTTCAAGCCTCTGGGAGGCCGAAAAAGGCCTCAAACCAGCCGAAAAATCAGCTGTGAGGCGTGCGCATGCGCAGTGAGGTAAATTTGCCTGCAGCTCAGGTGCCATAGATTCGCCATCATGGCTCTAGTATTTTTCTTATCACACATTTTCCTCTGGTGACATACTATCATTTCTCCAATTCTGTGTGTAAGTTATTCTTGGTGCTGTTAATAAATGTAGCATTAGATACTCTTGTTTTCTTATCATATTTTCCCATTATTATACCTCATAGAAAAGTCTCAGGTCTTAATTCAATTTTCTGTTTAATTATTTCTTCTATCCATTTTTTTTTAAGAACAAGTTTTATTGATTTTTGAAGACAAACAAAACGTAACACATAAAAGTATAAAACCTCCTTTCTAAGAATTACTCATAAATTTTAACAAGGCAAATAAAGCATTATTTTTTAAAAACATAGTTCCACATCATCACATTTCCATTTACACATCTATATCTTTTCCAAATTTCTCATTATTTCTCCCTTCACTTTTGTTCAAATTATATTTCTTTCTATCAAAGTTTTAGTAATTCTCAATCATTCATAAGCACACAAAATACATCACCCAAAACAAAACATTTAAAAAAAAAAATCCATTTTTTTTTCTATCCATTTTAGTTCTTTTTTGGTCCTTATCCAATATTTTCCCACTACAGGGCATGTCCACCACGCGTGGCGATACGTTCCTTACTTTTGTTTCATTTCCAACCCTCGGGACGATTTGTTTGGGAACATTTTTTTGCTAATCTAGCAGGTGGGTAAGTGCTACCTGTAAAACACGTTGTACCAAAGGAAGATCTCTTTCGTGTTCTGCCCGTAGGATCTCGGGATGCTACGAAGCCTTAGACGGAGGCAACACGGGCGATGCCTTGGTGGATTTTACTGGGGGCGTCTCGGAACCGATTGACCTGGTCGAAGGAGGCTACGCCAGTGACGAAGCCAAACGAAACCTCCTTTTTGAGCGAGTGCTGAAAGTCCATAACCGAGGAGGCCTCATTAGCTGCTCCATCAAAGTAAGCCGGTCTAGTCAGCGTACACACACACAACTATAGACCAACCTACCAAAAACACAACTGTAAAAAACAAAGTAGAAATAAAAATTAAAATAAGCCAAAAAAAATAGTAAAAGAACACCCGTCTGATCTTGATGAATACAAATCACTAGGTTGCATTAACAGAGGGATATAATCAAGACCAAGTGAGGTACTAATACCACTCTATAAAGCCTTAGTAAGGCCTCACCTAGAGTCCTGCATCCAGTTTTGGTCACCACACTACAAAAAAGATATTGAGACCCTAGAAAGAGTGCAGAGAAGAGCAACCAGGATGATGAGGGGACTGGAGGCTAAAACATACGATGAACGGTTGCAGGAACTGGGTCTGGCTAGTCTAGAGAAGAGAAGGACCAGGGGAGACATGATAGCGGTCTTCCAATATTTGAGGGGCTGCCCCAGAGAGGAGGAAGGGGTCAAGCTATTTTCCAAAGCACCCGAAGGCCAGACAAGGAAAAATGGATGGAAACTGAACAAGGAGAGATTCAACCTGGAAATAAGGAGAAGCTTTCTGACAGGGAGAACAATCAACCCATGGAACAGAAGTTGCCTTCAGAAGTTGTGGGAGCTTCATCCCTGGAGGCTTTCAAGAAGAAACTGGATTGCCCTCTGTCAGAAATGGTGTAGGGTCTCCTGCTTGGGCAGGGGGTTGGACTAGATGACCTAAAAGGTCCCTTTCCAACTCTGTTAATCTGTATCTGTACAGAATAGAGAAGAGTTTTATTGATCTCCTTGGATTGAAGTGGGAAATTTTGAGGTGGGCTTTCTCTTACTCTACCTCAGGGGTAGGGAACAATGGGCCCTTTTATGACTTGTGGGACTTCAACTCCCAGAATTCCTGAGCCAGCATAAAAAAAGTTTACAGCCATGGCAGGCTCGGGGATTCTGGGAGTTGAAGTCCCACAAGTCATAAAAGGTCCCATCGTTCCTTATCTCTGCATATTGCAGGTTATAAAAAGCTGTCTTTTGTCTGATAATCAGAGTTGGAAGGGACCTTGCAGGTCATTTAGTCCAACCCCCTGCCCAAGCAGGAGACCCTACACCATTTCTGACAGTCCAGTCTCTTCTTGAAAGCCTCCAGGGATGAAACTCTCACAACTTTCAAAGGCAACTTCTGTTCCATGGGTTGATTGTTCTCACTGTCAGAAAGTTTCTCATTATTTCCAGGTTGAATCTTTCCTTGTTCAGTTTCCATCCATTATTCCTTGTCTGGCCTACAGGCGCTTTAGAAAATAGCTTGACCCCTTCCTCCTCTCTGTGGCAGCCCCTCAAATATTGGAGCACTGCTATCCTATCTCCCCTGGTCCTTCTCTTCCCTAGACTAGCCAGGCCCAGTTCCTGCAACTGTTCATCGTATGTTTTAGCCTCCAGTCCCCTCATCATCCTGGTTGCTCTTCTCTGCACTTTTTCTAGAATCTCCACATCTTCTTTTATAGTGTGGTGACCAAAACTGGATGCAGGACTCTAGGTGTGGTCTACCCCTCTGTTGCTGAAGTCATATTTTTTTGCAATCAAGTTTGGAGCGGTTTACCTTGAGTTTGTATCCGTTGTTTGCCCATGTGTTATTGTTCTGACCCAACCCTGTTACCAGCAAGAAAATCTCAAACAAACAAACACAGCAACTCAAACCTTCTCAGCTTTAATCTACAAATAAACTTCTTTGTAGATAAAAAGATGGCTTGCAGCCAATTAGTCCAACCAGAAAAGCCTTGACAGAATTCTTCAGATAAGCCAGAGTCTCCGCACACAATGCCGAGTCCGTAGAATGTTTTTGCTTTCTGCAAAGGCAAAAACCTTTTGAAACCAGGCTTATATTCCCTGGAGGGAGGGGCCATTACGTTGCACCCTTACTCCCTGTGCTGCTCCAGCTTTTCCGTTCTACGAATCGCCCTGCGCTCACGCGCACTCGGGAACCTCCTCATCGCTGCTGCCAGCTCTCACAATCCCTGAAGGCAAGCAGTCCACTCCCTGATGGTCCTGGCCCCTCATCTGAGTCCTTTGCTCTCCTCCACCGTCAGCACCTGCTGCCGGCTAACCACAACAGTTATTGTGGTTGAAGCTGAAGAAGTCAACGATGGGCAAGATGGTTATAGCAGGCAATTTTGTGAACTGTGCTTAGATCAGACCAGAGGCGGCCCAGTTCCAGATTGTCGAGGACCAAATATTGCAAGCCTGGAGGCCGTGGTGGGATTCAGCCGGTTCGCACCGGTTCACAAGAACCGGTTGTTAACTTTCTGAGCAGTTTGGCAAACCGGTTGTCGGAAGAAATCCTGAGGGCAGAAAACCGGTGGTTTAAATTATTTCAATCTCACCACTGCCTGGAGGCATAGGGAGAATTTTATGGCATGTGGAGGAGTGGAAAATCCTTGCCAGAATTTCTCGACCAACATCCCAAGATCAAGTTTGAATTAACTGGTTTTCTGCCCCTAAAACAGCAAATTCCTGCGTTCTCTTTCCAAGGCCGTGTCAGCTGCTGATATGGAAGCCCGGCTGGACTGTGGCCTGGTCAAAGGCCACGCCTACGCAGTCACCAACGTCCAGAAAGTCCGCCTTGGCCATGGCTTGCTGGCTTTCTTCAAATCCGAAAAGCTGGACATGATCCGGTTGCGGAATCCGTGGGGGGAGCGAGAGTGGAACGGCCCCTGGAGCGACACGTAAGTCTGGCCAAGCCGTCGTCCACCCACAGCGTGCACTGGAGGTCTCACAACTATCCATGCTTTTTTTTTTTCCTCTCATGCAGGCACCAACACAGGTTGGGAAACCTTCTCCTTGCTTGTTAAGAATGTTTATTTTGATTTTGTTTATTTATAACCTATCTTTACTATTTTTATGAACAGCTCAAGGTGGCGAATGTATCTAAGATTCCTTCCTCTGCCTATTTTCCTCTTGACAATAACGCTGTGAGGCAGGTTGAGCTGAGAGCGATAAACTGGCCCAAAGTCAACCAGCTGGCTTTCATGACTTGGGTGGAACTAGAACTCGCCATTTCCTGGTGGTTGGCCCAAAGTCACCCAGTTGGCTTTCATAGCAAAGGCAGGACTAGAACTCACAGTCTCCTGGTGATTGGCACAAAGTCACTCAACCAGCTTTCATGCCTAAGGCAGGACTAGAACTCACAGTCTCCTG